TTACTATGGAAAAAAAAATCACTCCCTGGGTTTAGTATGGCTGTATATTTCTGCCTATTAATATTTGGATTTTTTTTTTTAGAAAGTATATTTTTGTATGCTCTGTTTTGTGACTTAAAAGTGTTACCTTTGTAGTCGAATTGCAGATAAGAATGTAAATAATATTACTGGAGCTGACTTGTTTGGTTATTAGCTCTTAATAGTTGTGGAACTATAAATGATTTATTCTAACGCAAAAACCACTAACTAAAGTTCAGATAATGGATGGTTTATGACTATAGTGTAAATAAATACTTTTCAACAATATCTTTGCTGCAGAAATCATTTATGAACGATTTCCTGGACAGGAATTCCATGGTTATCCAGTTGGGTTTAGTGCTTTGACCAAGCCAGGATCTCCAAATTTTCTTTGCTGGCCTTTCAACACCAGCCTGCTCACCCCCAAAGCAATCTCCATTCATAATCAAACACTAGTGTTCCAGGGATTTCCCCCATGCATTAGTGTAAAAGTGGGGAGGCGTTGTTTTGACTCATTGTTCCGTCCTCTATAACAGCCTATAGCTTCTCTTGGCTCCTGAGTGGGCTCCGGAAAATAAATACTTACAAACAAGTGCCCACTCGGAGACTACACATTTGTGGCTCCTTTCAGAACTCTGACCAAGGCCAGGAACTCAGACGAAATGTGGCTTTGTGGAAAGTGTGGTGGCGTGGTCAAGCTGGAAATGACTTTTAGGTTCCAGGATTAGTCTCATGACCACAGAAAACTTTTTGAAAAATGCTATCGCCTCTTCAGATCAAAAATGCACCCAGACACTGCTGAAGATAGCATTAATGCGTTGCCAAAGGAATTACCCCAGGACTCATTTCTCTTTAGTCTTCTCTCCCTGATTACCCCTATTTGGAAGGATCACTAATCTGCCATAGGTTTGGCGGGTCTAGAGACTATCAAAATACCCAGCTCATTAGATAAGACAGGTATCCAGCAGCCTAAGAAAATCTCAAAGAAAGACACTTTCTTTAATAAGTAATGAGATAGGTAAATTAAATAGGCGTATATGGGCCTCCGTGGGTACTGGCTAATGGTTTGCAAAAGAATACACTGCAAGCCTTTAGCAGTGATTTTAAAATATAAAAGTCATACGAAGTAAGTGGGTTGGGGTCTCTGTGAAGTTATCTACTCTAAAATTGGGCCTCAATATCATTTAAGTTCACCCGCAGCTTCTGGATCCTCACACACGTGTGACCTGTTGGAATACCCACTGTTCAGCTATATCATCTGAAAACTGCCATCTGTTTGTTCTTTGCCACTGTCAGCCCCTTCATGCGTGGTTGATAATTGAAGGCCTTTACTTTAGAACAGCGGACAGTGACACCTAATTTTTGCCCTACAGAACACTGGAATTTTGAGATCTAACTTGTGGAAGTGATTAAGCCTTTTATTTCCTCTCCTTCCGTATTTCAAAGATGCAGAATACCTCTTTCTGTAACTATGAAATAGAAATTTCTAAACTGCAGTGCCAGATTGTTCTGGTAACTGGTGTTACTCCATTAGATTTATATTTCCTAGTTTATCAGCATGTTATCATTCTTGTTTGGCTAATTTTGTTAAAATATGTATAAAACAATGCCACATTTTGATAATTATGTTTTTAATGAATACTTCCTAATGAATACTACCAAAACTTCAACTTTTTATAAAGCAGGACAAAAAAAGTTGTTGTGTTTTCTTTTTCTTTTAAATTTTATGTATTTATTTTTGAGAGAGAAGAGATCACATGTAGGCAGTGTCAGGCAGAGGGAGAGGGAGAAGCAGGCTTCCCAATGAGCAGAGAGCTTGATGCAGGGCTCAATTCCGGGACCCAGGACCCAGCCCAGGGATCATGACCTGAGCTGAAGGCAGACACTTAACTGACTGAGCCACCCAGGTGTCCCAGAAGTCATTTTTTTTTTTAAGATTTTATTTATTTATTTGACAGAGATTACAAGTAGGCAGAGAAGCAGGCAGAGAGAGAGGAGGAAGCGGGCTCCCCGCTGAGCAGAGAGCCCAATGCGGGCTCGATCCCAAGACCCTGGGACCATGACCTGAGCTGAAGGCAGAGGCTTTAACCCACTGAGCCACCCAGGCGCCCCCCAAAAGTAATTTTTAAAAGAGTAAGATTATTTTGATGATTGTCAAATTCGTTAATCATTTTCACCTTGATGTGGGCTTGAAGTGGTACAACATACCATAAGGAACACATCTTGGTGTTTTTTCAGACAACTTGGTCACTTTTACTTGATTTTAACATGTCAGATCAATTTTTAATCTAAAACCAATGTTGAAACATTGAGGGTATTGTCATACAGGTGTCTCATTTTTTACTTTGCTCAAGAAATAAAGCATATAAAGCTCAGCCTGCTCCTTCTTACATTCGATATGCTTTATTGTATATTTCTGATAGTACAGCTGTTACTGGGCATTCTTATTAAAAATAAACTTCTTGGGGTGCCTGGGTGGCTGCTTCTCACCTGCTCATGCTCTCTCTCAAATTAATAAAATCTTAAAAAAAAACCACACAAACAAACTTCTGGAGAATAATTGCTTAAAGATTGTAATGCATTTGCTCTGGTTCACTGAATATCAAAAATAGGTCTATTAAACCTAAATCAGGTCTTCAATTATTCATAAATCATTGTATTTAACTACCAACCACTAATTAAGCCAAACTGCTTGATATATATTAAAAGTGGCTGTAGGGATATTTTAACTGTTCTACACACACACACACACACACACACACACACACACACACACACACGTCTATGTATATGTATTTGGTGGGAATGAATGGTCAGCATCAATTACTTAAGATGCTGCCAATCCAAACGGCAATTAAACTTTACAGAAAAAGTAAAGATAAGAAATAAATTTAAGTCTAAAGATTCTTTCCTTCATGGATAAAAGTATTTTTGTTTTCTGGCACTAGTTTATTTCCCTTAGCTTAAATATAAAAGGAACTATTTTCTGTTGTAGCAAAATAACATGATTAGACAGCTTCAGATACGTTTTCAATCAGATAGTTTCAAAGCTCACTCTCAAGGAAATAGACTAAATTTATATTATTACTTGGGTTTTAGAATCTGCAGAAAGCCACCTGTTTTCAGTACAATATAATCCTACTGTATAGACTAAATCTTTAACAGTAATTAAAATGTAGACATCATAGTATTTTTCTTCTCCATTTTGCAATAATCAAATAATCTAAACAATTTCAAACATGCCTTTATTTTCCATAAGTACACTGATTTTAATCCAGAAATATAAACATCTCTGGATCTGAAAATTCAGTATGTTGTATATAGGGCTTAAACAAACGATTTCCTTGACAGTAGATGCTTCGTTACACTGAAATGATCAGTGGTTGACTTGTTTCTAACTTGGAGTTCAGAATTCAGACTAGGAGGGTTACAGAAGTGGCACTGCCCTCAGTTTAGAATTGAATGGGAGTGGTCTGAGTCCTGAATTACAGACATACTGCTTTTTTGCTGAGCAGTGCAGCTAGGGCACAAGATACAATCATTGGGATTAGACGAGCAGTAACAGCCTTCTTCAGATGCCAAGGCTGAGGCACCTACGAGGGGACAATGCAAAAGGGGGAATAAAAGGTGTGGATTTGGGAAGAATTTAGGGACTATTAGTCTTAAGAGTTCAGAGAACCCATTCCTGTTGACAAGTATACGGGCCCCTGGTTTTCATTAATAAACAGCAGTTAGTGTAAACTCAACCCATGCAAATCAAGCTTTGTAAAAAATCAATTCTCATAAAATAGGTAGGTACACAATAGTCTCCATTAATATAACTGGCTTTTGATATAACCAGAGAATACAAAAGCTTTAGAAGTACTGAGACAGACATCTCATTCATGAGGCAATTATTGCATTTGTTATTCAACAGAAAAGTGATTAGTATCATTGTGCTCATTAGTCTGTGTAGAGGAAGACAAATTTTTCTCACAGCTGTTACTAAAATATAGTCTATATATTGCAGGAATATATGGAAATACAACAGCAGCACATTCAGTCAGTCATGACCAACAGTTTATGCAGAGGTACCAGCTTTGCTGCACCACATTTTCTATTGGCATTAAGAATATTCTTTCCTTAGTGGCTCACTGAAACAAGTTCAGTTTTCACCACTAATTTCCTCAGAACTTATTAATGAACTAGAAGTTTGACTGTTATTGAAATAAATTAGATATCATATTGCTATTCTGGCCTGCAAGAATTTCAGATATTCTTTTGAAAAGCACCTTAGTTTTTTTTTCTTTTTTTTTTTAAATTCAACTTGTATCTGAGAACTTTAAAGTTTGGAAAAACAAGTCCTCCTTTATTACTGTCCTACTAGAAGAATGAGTTCTTGTTGGTTTAATGTACACCAGGTTGTATTATATAGCATATATATCACTATCAACAAGCTTTATAAGTTAATCAAATTTTGGCTATAATTCAGAACGGGGAGATTATGTGATTGGTAACCATACACTTTCATTACTGTGCTATTAAAAAACCCATTTTGTGAACATTTTTTTAAGAAGATAATCATTTGCATATGTAGAATTATTTTTAAACTGAATGGCATTAAAAAGTGCTTTAAACTGCCTCCAAGGCAGATTAAACCACACCAGAATGTGAAGCTACCAACAAACAATGTTAGCAATCCTGGAAGAAATGCCTGGCATTATGCCTGTCTCAGGTTTTACAACAGAGTGACATTTCGCATTGAATAAGCATCTTGTTAAAAAAAAAAAAAAAAATCAAGAATTTGTTTTTCTAGCTAAAAAACTGGGAACAAATATTCCTTCACTCTGGGCCATTAGTAACCCAGTGTGCACAAAGAGGCAAGGGCACATACTGTTTTTTCTACAGGGACACTTTCCACCAATAGCAAATCTCCCTTTATTACAGACCTTAGAATTGGATTGCCATTTGGGCAAGTCAATCAAGAGGGCTTAGACAACAGCTGGGCAGATTTTAACGTGTTTATTTCTACAGTTTGTTTTTATTAAAAGTGTTGTGAAAAAGGAATCCTATAAATAGTAAAAAGAGGGAAACAATAGTGCTCCATAGCCTGAAGCAAATAGTGTAAATACATTTGTAAACAAGGTAAAGTTGCTGAGCTTCCTAAAAGGACAAAAATAAAACTAGTTACAGATAGCACAATTGTTTAAGAGGTTAGGAAGTACTTTGTCCCAAGTTTTGGTGCTCTAAAATGGCCAGCAGTATAGGTAATTCTCTATTCTGTAACCTTGATCATCTGTGCCTTCTCTCTTCCTATAGAAAACTACACTGGATGAAGCAAACACTGGTTCTCTACTGTTCTGAGGGGTTTTGAGAACACTGCCACCAAAACAATACAGCTGGAACCACCAGCCTTCTGGAACACTAGAGCTCCTGAGAGAATCTCAAACAGTCATCAACATCTTTCTCTATTTTTGCAGGAAAATACTGGAAGTAAATAGGGGCATGGACTTCAACAGCTGGCTAGGAGTGTTTTACATTCGGTTGTTTGGAAGCATGCTGATTTAGCTCCTTTGAACCTTCTCCTTAGAAAACATGGAATTACCCTAACTTCTTAAAGCACACGAAGACCAAAAAAAAAAAAAAAAAAGTCATTTGAGGATAATATAGTTTTTGCATTAAAGGTCAATCTGCAACAAGCAATCTGTTCAACTCACAGATCTGGAGACTCATGGGGAAGAGAAGCTGTAAGTGACCATTTGTCACTGAGATATGCAGGTGCTGAATTTCTTAGTAGATGCTGCCAGAGTAAACCAGATGTGGCTACTGGGCAAGAGGAGGAAAGAAATTAAATCTTGTCCTCTACATGCATAGTTATGTTATTGGGGTGATGCCCCAACTCTGGAAAAAAAGATCTATTCCATAACGAATGAATTAGGCAGGATAGCTCATTTTAAGTAGTAGCTCATCTTTTTAAGCCTAGTTTTTACCAATGACTTGAACTAAAAACAATTCAAACCACTGGGTCATGCAGTCAATAAGTTAAAACTATAACAATAAGTAAAAGGGCATAGGACATAAGTGGAAAACAAACCCTATTTACCCGGGTAAAGGGAGTGGGGGCATTTAGTGTATTTTGTATAGGATAAGGAACAGAGAAAAGAATATTTTCATTATGGCTTTAGGACGGAAGCGCTTCAGATAGTCCCCCTTCCCCCCTTTCCCCCAAATCAAAACCCCGGTGGCAGTGACAGAGCCAGGAAACAACCTAGTCTACCCGCCTTCCCCACCCCCTAACCCGGCCCCGTGGCTGCACTCCAGACGTCAGCGCTTCCCACGGCTCCGGAGAAAGCGGCTACAGCCCATTCCAGTAGATCCAACGCCCAGGCCTGGGGGTACGGACAGAGCCCTTATGGTGGGTCGCGGGCAGCGAGGCCCAGATGTGAACAGGGCATGTCTTCGGCCCACAGCAGCCAGGCGCGAGCGGCTTCAAGGGAAGACTTTGGGACCTGGATAGGGCTCCCCCTCGCACCAGAAGTCATCGGCTTGCGGGGTCTCCAGGAGCCACACCTCTCGGGGAAGGTCACAGGCCGAGCCAGAGGCCTCCTTGTCCCTGACGGGCTCCAGCACCCGGTAATAATGGCAGTCCCGGCCATCGTCGGGGTCATAGGGCGGGGCCAGAATGTCCAGGAAGGCGGCGGGTCCGTCCACAGCGTCGATCTGGTGCAGGTTGTCCTGGTGCGGAGTGAGGACACAGGGGCCGCTGGCCTCGGTGTACTCGGCCCGCGAGCGCAGCACGCCTGGCCGCACGGCGTCCCGCTCCCGGGCCTGCAGCGGCGGTTCGAACTGCTGCTCCGGCGGCGGGGCCCGCGGCTGTTGCCCGCAGCCCGCCTCCAGTTTGTCCATGCAGCTGATGCGAACAGTGCCATAGAGCACTTTGAGCATGCCATGCATGCCCGGGTGGTCGTGCAATGGGATGGACGTGCCGCTCTTGAGCAGGAACACGCCGAGGCTGAAGCCGTCGGTTTCGTAGATGTGCATGTAGGTGACCGGCGGCAGGTTGGGCGGTAATGGCTGCAGCGTGGCCTTACGCGGGGCGATATTCAGGTCCTCGGCGCGGACTTGGGTCAGCAGGTTCTTCAGCTTGCTCAGGTTCTCCGGAAAGCCCTGCGGCATCGGGGCCTCGGGGCCCGGTGCGGCGCCGAGGTCGGAAGCGCTGCGGCCGCCCCCGCTGCCCCGGAAGGTGAGGCACGCCTGGCGGGCGATCCGTTGGATCAGGGAGGCCATGTTGTCTCGGGGCATGCTCGGCTGTTCCTCCGCGTTCCGAGGCCGGCCCCCGCCGCCCCCTGCTTTCCTCCGCCCTTTGCGGTCTCCGGCGGCCGCCAGGGCTGCCCGCAGCCCGGGGCGAAGCTAGAGGCCCCGCAAGTACCGGTCTTTCGGGCGCGCGGCACCCCTCAGCAGCCTCACGCCCGCAACGGTCCGGCGCAACCACCCCGCGCCTCCGGCGAGCGCGCACGCGCACGACCCACACGCTGCACTCACGCCCAAGGAGCAGGTACCAGCCGCGCGGACCGTGGAAGGCTTTGCATTACGCCCAACGTTCCATTCAAGTAGCCCACACCTACGACGGTGGCCCGCGCTCTGTCCGTCTTACAGAGCATGCTGGGACTTGTAGTCCGATATTACGGAGGAGCTCTGAGTTTCCTTTGTCAGCTGGAAAAAGAAGGATTGAATTTGTTTCTTATGAAGCGCCCTTATTCGCGGTTCCAAGGTGTTTGCTTGTTAGAAAAAGGTGAATTGGGGCACAAGAGAAATAGCCGGTTGACTACAACTCCCGGCAGCCCCAGTATACTGGCGTAACGCACTTCCGGCAGCTGGCCTGTGGCGTGGTGGGGTCTTGGCCACTGCATGGAACAGGGCAAGAGGGTTGTTAACCTTCTGGCGCCGCTCGGTCCTGTTCCGCCCAGCAGGGTCGCTTTTCTCCGGCCCTACCCTTGGGAAGGAGGCTGTTGAGTTAACTTTATGTTTTCCTGGCCACCTAGGCAGCACTATCTGCCACGTAGATTACTGGACGGCACTTTCGTAATTTTCCAAGTTTCTTGGGAGATGAGAGGGTCGAGGCCATCCCGCGTGATCACGATTCCTCAGCACAGCCGTCCCCAGCTGTTGTTTGCATCAGGGTGTGATGACGCTGCTCTTCCGGTTACAGAGCACGATAGTTTTGCTGGGATTCTAGAGGCCATTTGCTGTGGCCAAGGACAGTGTATACTAAGGGTTATCAAACCTTGGTTTGCCCAAGAAGCACCAGGTTAGGAGGGGAGGTAGGGAGAGGCTTTTAAAAAAATACAGATTATGGTCTGGAAATTGATTCACTAGGTGATTTTGAGGCAACGTATGAGAAACGGTGGTGTGCGAGAAACGGGCAAGCTCTTGACCTTCACCTAACCCTGAGTTTAAGGTATCTTTGGACTTCCAAAGTGGAACATGGGCTTCTTGTTCGTTTTGTAATTGGAGTGGTTCTATAAATCCCCTCTAGCTGAAAAAGGCATGACTTTTTAATGGGCCCTGTAATGTATCTAATGGGCGCTTAGTATATGCGAGGCATTCTGTATCTAATGAATATTATACTATTTGATCCTCATAGCAGTTCTTTTAAGAGGTGGGCACTATTATTTCCAGATTACAGGTGAGGGAATAAGTTGCACAAGGATAGTAAGGAATGAGCAGAGCCCAAGCAATGAAGAAAAAAAATACAGTTAAAAAAGAAAAACACCAAAAACCAGCAGTTTGAATTGGTGTTAAAAGCACTAAGTGTTGAGTCAGGATATTGTCTTCCCAGCCTACTGTGCTACTTATAGGTTGTATGTCTTTAGGCAGATCTTACCCTTTAGGTCCTCAGTTTATTCACTTGTAAAATGCTGGTGTTAGGGTAACAGTCCTTCTGAACCCAAGTTACTCATCAGAAGCCCCTGGGAAACTTTACAAAAATAAAGATTTGGAGGTCATAATCCAGAGATTCTGATTCAGAAGAACCATTGAAGCCTAGAATTTTTTTCCTAAGGTGCTACCCAAGTGATTCTTAATTATCAGCCCAGTTTGAGAATCACTACTGGATCTGTAAATAGTGAACCCGTTCTTAATATTTGGTGATTTTGATTAAGACGATGATTGTTTGTTTTAGAAGGGACTCTTGATTATGTATTTGTTCTTCAGAGTTGCCATGCTACTGTTAAGGTGTTTATACTGTCAAAGTTCACCATGTAATGCACTATTTCACCATGCAATATTTTTCTAAAGTGAGGACTAGTTAAATTAAGAGGAAGAATCCCCTGTCTTTATTTACAAATCTGGGTTTTTTTTTTTTTTTTTTTACAAATCTGGGTTTTTATTTATTGGTTTTATTTGTTGGTTTTCTTCTATTATTATTGGTTTTCTTCTATTTCTTCTATTAAGGTATAATTAGTGGGACATGTAGACTGTGTAGAACACAGACTTAAGTAACATATAGATATATTTCATTTTTTAATCTGTCACTTCTTAATAGTTACCTGTACTTATTTAACGGAAATGGGATAATAAGATACATGTGTTAAAAAAACGGTTAATAGCATATGGAACATAGTAGATGTCCAATAATAGTAGCTATTATTATAGTTTTTAAATGGCTAAAAGCCATTTAGAAATTAGTAAACACCAATGAATTTAAATAATGCTCAGCAAATATTGAAATAGAATTTGACTTGAGAATGAGCTTCAAGGTAGAGATTAAAAAAAAAGGTCATTTTTATTGGTTAAACCTTCTATCTGGTGATACAGTCCTTCAGGTCCTTGCTATTATTGTTTGGCCAAAGAACTGAAAGTTTTCAAAGACTGTTTGAATCTGAATCACCTGGGGGCATTTGTTGAAAGTGCAGATTCCTATATCATGTCTACACCTACTGAATCGGAATCTTCTGCACATTAAAGGTTTTAAGAACTACTGAGTGTCCATAGGGCATGTGGTCCTTTTTTTTTAGGTCACAGACAGGCTACCTCCATAATTCCTTTTGATGCTGTCCTTAGAGCTGCACTAAGGGATGATATCAATCCTGGGGGCTTTTGCCCTTCAGGAGCACCTGACTTGCCCTTCTGCACCACTGCCAATAGCATTAGCTGAGTAGGTTTCTATCACCATTAATGTCCTTTTGATGGTCCTTAGTCTGTTTTGCTTTGTGTTGCAGTAAGCAGAATGAAGATCAAAAGAAATTCAGAAAAGGGAACAAAGAAGTAATAGTAAACATGTGCTAGAAATACAAGGCAGACACAAAATTCGGGAAAAGTTTGGGATAGATGGAATTAACCATTTGGAATCTATCGTTCTATAAATAGTATCTGCTGAGCACCAGGCATCGTTCTAAGTTTTGGGAAATTCATTGAGGAATGTCTGCTCTCCCAAGGAATTTACCTGCATGTGTGTGCATGTGTGTGTGTTTGTGTGTGTGTATTTTGGGATGGAGGTTGTTAGATGGTATACATCAGTGAGCAACGTAATTTCAGATAGACATATGTTTATAAAGGCAAAACAGGATGATAGGATGGTGTGATATTTGTGTGTGCATATGGTGTGTTACTTTAAATTGGATAGTAGAGGTGACCAGAAGATAACATTAGAACTGCTCCTGAATATTCAAGAGTCAATTACAGAAAGATCTGGGATCAGAGCATTCCAAACCTTAAGGTTGTTAAACAGGATATCATATACTGTGACTTTGATGCAGTGGGGAGGAGCTTGGTATCACTGGGGACAAGAATGAAGGCCTGTGGGGTTACACAGGTCACATAGTGACTTTTAGAGTTCCTGGAGGGAGATGAATTTGGGGAGATAGGCAAGGACCATATTTTATAGGCTTTATGTACCATTTTTATAGGGGATTATGGGTAGCTGAGGGCCACGGTGGGGAGGTGGATTTTATTACAAGTACAGTGAGAAGCTTTTGGAGAGCTTTGGGAAGGAGGATGACCTATTTCTTTCACATTTCTCAGAGATTGGTGGGAGAAGAGTGTAACAGCAAAGAATCCCAGATTAGAGGCAGTACTCCAGGGGAAAGATGGGAGAACTAGTGTAAAGATTAGGAATCTATTTTGTAGGTGGATTTCACAGGGCCTGCTGATGAACTATTGCTTTGACAATTTATTACTTAAACTGTGTTCTCTCCACATTTTCTTTTTTATGAGTTGACAGCAATGTAGTGATAGGTGACTACAAAACTTGAATTACACCTCTTGCCCATATCTAATTATTAAATTTAGGAATGGGTTTAGCACACAGAAACATGAGTAAAGTTGAATTTTTTTTTTTAGTTGCTTAATTAACCAGGAACTAAGAAGAACTGGAAGAGCCCCCAAACACAGACACAGACAGATACACGGACACACACACACACCCCTCCATAACCCCAGTCCCCCTTAACTTCATCTCAGTTCTCTGATTTCTTCATTCTTGGGGAATAGGCTTACATTTTGTCTTCTTCCTTTTTCCCTTGGCCCTCCTCTTTATGAGGACTTACTTTTCTTAATTCATGAGATGGATTACCTTCTGACTTTTTCTCAAATCCTTCCGAATTCATTTTGTGCATCTCTTCTGATCACAGTGGGGCCCCCTGTCAAAAGAGTACAAAAATGTTAACATTCTCAAGTACTCTTGTGGTTGTTTGTTTTGGAGGTGGGCAGGAAGCTTTCTTTTTTCCCAGCAGCTCTTGCCACCTTACTCCTATATCTGCCTTTTATGTTACTATAGAACATCGTAACTAAATTGCTAAAGTATTTTTCCTACTTTCCGACTAACTTACTTATACTTAGTTATGTTTGAAATATTTTGGGTTTGTATTGTGGCTTTCCTTTCAGCTCTTAGAAAATGTTAGCATATTTCTCATCTGTTATCATGAGTAAATGTCAAGTTGTAAGAAATACATTAGAAGGCAGAAGAGCTGATTCTAGGCATGGCTTTCACTCTAACCCGTTGTGTGCTCTTGAGCAAATCATTTGATTTCACTAGATCCTAGTTTCTTAGTGGTTCAGGGATAGATGATCTCTGAGATTACTTCTAGCATCTCTTTAGCTCCATGTGGATGATAGAGACAGTTAAAAGGACAATTCAGACAAAACCATGTATTTTCTTTCATCTCACTTATCTAAATTATTTTTAGCTCTCCCATCTCTTAGCTCTGTCCATCTTACATCTCCACTACCATCTTTTTTTTTTAAATATTAAGATTGTATTTATTTTTGTGAGAAATAGAGAGTGAGCACACAAGCTGGAGGGGGGAAGGGCAGAGGGAGAAGCAGATTCCCGCTGAACAAGGGGCCCAGTGTGGGACAAGGAGCCCAATATGGGACTTGATCCGAGGACCCTGAGATCATGACTTGAGCCAAAGGCAGATGCTTAACTGACTGAGCCACCCAGGCACCCTCCATTGCCATCTTAAAAGTAACTCTGTTCCACTCTACTCTGATTTAGATTTGTGTG